CATCCTACAATATGACTGGCCTGTTCTCTTAAAAATGTCAATGGAAATCTCTGTACCCCCCTCTCAATTTTGTTGTAAACCCAAAACTGCTCTAAAAAAGCCTTAAAAAATGTCACGAAGCGTGCATGGATGCGCACACGCACGTGCGCATACGACTGAGGAACTGTTGGCAGATTAATGGAGCCTAAAAAGACATAACAACTAAATGCAATGCATGATCCTGGATTTTCTTTTGTACAGATGACATTATTGGGACAACTGGTAAATCTAAATGAGAGTCATGCAGTAGACAATAGTATTGTATTTATGTGAATTGCCCGATTTGGGTAAATGGACTGTGGTTACATAAGAAATGTCTGTGTTTTTAGGAAATATGCACTGAAGATTTGGGGGCAAAGGAGTGTCCCATCTGCACCTTACTCTGGATGGTTCTGAAGACACTGCCCAGGTGCTCACCTCCATGAAGAGAGCAGCACAGAGAGAAGGATACATGTGCACATGTGGGGGATTGGGGCGAAGGGTACCTGAGAAGTCTGCATTCTTCTTGCAACTTTTTTCTAAATCTGAAATTATGTCAAAATATAATTAGAAGAAAAAAAGAAAGAAAATGCCTGTTTAGCTCCACTCATCTCTCATCTGTGTAGGGGGCCCTCCCCAGTCATTCATTCACCCTGATTTTTTCCAAAGCCTGCGATGGCCCATGAGACAGGAACATGCTAGGGGGACTCTGGAGGTGAATAAACTCCCACCTCACTCTTTGGGGTTTGCAGAGTGGTGCATGAGGTGTACACACACACGCACACACATGCACACGCACACACACACGCGCACACACACAAGCACCCTCTCTACCCTGCGCAGTTTAACTGGGGCCTTCGTGAGTGCATGACATACTAACGGTGATTTCTTCAGAAGAGTTGATGCAGAAGCAGGAAAATATGTCAACATCAATAAATTTTCCTTGAAAAATAACTGACATATCAAAAGGCCCTTTGTATATAGCACTTCCGTGTGAGTCCTCTTAGTAAATCTTTAGAACCACCCTCTGAAATAGACACTTTTATTTAGATACATCTTACTTACGGGAAAGGAAATTGAAGCTCAAAAGGGTAGTTACTTGTCTCACATCAAACTACAAATAACTGTACATCCAGATGTTGCTCTCTGAGCCTCTAATGGTTCCACAACTCTGGTGTTGGGAGGGTGGGGCTATAGGCTGAAGTTTCCTGAAAGCTCATAACCAGATAGACTTGTCTGGCTTTAGGATGTGCGGGTGGGTGTGTCTGAGAGGCTCTGGGCTCCTTGAGGCGTTCCTCCATGTGTCCACTAGAGGGTGCTGCTGGCCCAATTTAGAAGTACCTACTTTCCCCTCTTGAACTTGGTGTGGTCAGAGGAATTGCTGTAAAATCCAAAAAAACTTATGCTTCAGGGTCTGTCACCTGCACTTTTTTTTTTAAACCCAATTTTGCATTATTTTTCCATATAGGGCTCTGAAGAAGCTTCAGGTCCTCAAAATCTGTATTCACCCTGTCTCATGCAAGTACTTTAATATTATAACTCAGGGTTGAGGGCGAGGACACTGTTACCCTTGAGCAGCACGGAGAGTAAATTTCCACAGGACATGGCCGTCCCCTCCTTTGGGCTCCCACAGAGCTGGACTCTGTCCTGTTTGGCCTTGACTCCCCAGTATGTAGACCACAGTATG